AATCTTACTTTAAGTGTTGCCACTTCTATTGGTCCGTTGTTCTGTCCAACCAGGAAGAACTCCACCGTGACAGTTTTCTTCTCCGTGCGTCTGGAGGCGCTGGAGCGGTGTGTGAACAGCGGGAAAGCCCTGGCCAAGGCACAGGCAGAAGCGAAGACTTCAGACCTCTCACAGACCATCTGAAACACCAGCCAGCAGGGAAACACGTCAGACAACACCAGGGGATGTGGGAGACGGCATTTAAAAGGATCTGTTACCTGGGGTATTATTGGTGAAGAGGGAAAAATGGAGGTGGGTGGGAAATAACCGATCTCTGAGTCAAGACGCGCTCATTCGTCATGTTTTGCATGGATGAACAGACCCACACTGAACTGGTTCATTCCCATATGGAAATGAATTACACTGTTGGACTGTGTGGGAATTAGTACATCCTTATAAGGGAGCTGGACTGTTTTAATTACACTACTGCAATTAACACAGGTTAGCTAACAGATCAAGACAAAAAAAAAAGGCATGGGAACCACCAATATGTGCTCAAAACAAATGAAACAAAGACAAATTTTATGAGAATGTGGCTAATATTAACCCAAAAGCTTTTTAACAGGGAGAATATTTTTCTGAAGTTCATTACAGAAATTACCAATGGAAAGCAGTTTTAGCTAAACATTTTCAAATTAACACCAAGGGTAAAAATTAAGTAATTACTCTTGCAAATAAGTTTTTCAAGTGAAGAGTATAATTAAATTTTTTTACTGGCACAGATTGCATGAGTCTTCTCTGACAACCTACAGATCTGATATAATCCGGAGAAGCCATAGAAACAAATCAATTCATCAGGCTCATACAGAAGATGACCAACGCAGTCTAAGAGCTTGTCCTGCAAAGGACTCACACTTGAGCATTAGTTTGCATCAGGACTTTTAAAACTCATTGAATAACACAAACAAGGCACCTTTCACGGGTTATGTGATACACCCATTGCACCCTGCATCAATCTCCCAAAGCATTGTGCTAACATCATAAATTCCAGTTTGGAAAAAGCCACCAATGGTTCCCTTTGCATGGGCATTCCTAGTTGAAGATGTTCCATACATATCCAACCTTAATGCCCTCCAACTGCTTGAGCACGCCCAGGCTACTGCAGTCAGGTCTTGCTTACGTGTCAGTGCAAAACCACTTGTGTCAGTGTAATTACATCGGCAAAACGTGTCCACCTCCAGTCTCCTTGGAGACAGCTGAAATCCGGGGAAAGTGGAGAAAACACTCAACCAGACATTTCACCAGGGACATTTTAGCAGCCACTTACAACGATGCATCTGTTGACACCTCCCGGCAGGCAGTTTCTGACCAGGCGGGTGATGAACTGTGCCGCAGACGGGCTGTTGTGCCGGCTCACCCTGGACGGCAGCGCGGCCACCGTGGCGTAGTTCAGGTAGAGAGGGCAGCTGTCCGTGGGGTTGGGGTTCAGGGTGCTCAGAGCAGACTGCCATATCTGGGGGGGGGGAAAAGAAGAATTTAAAGACAAAGCACGGTGTCAGACTTTTCTCTCCATCTCGTTCCCACTGTAGGCACTCTTTTAATGACAAGGATTTCAGGTGCTGGAAACAAAGAAGCTGTGCGTGCACTTTAAAGTGCAAGACCCTCTGAAGTGAAAAGAAACAGGAAATTTGACAAACGTGTTTATTATCCAGAAAATACAAGCGTACTTTCCATTACAAGCATCTCTTCTAAGCCATATGAACCACAATTTAAAACCACATTATTTAGTGCAAAGGCTGCTTCAGAGCTTCAAGTTGAGACAGTTTTCCTACTGATAAATAGAAGGACTGATTTACCAGCCCTGAACTACTGTTTCACATAGCAATTTAATTAAAACCAAACTAACCCAATAAAGATAAATATTGTCATAAGAGACTAAGGAGAGCCCTGCAAAATAAAAACACCCCTTGCCAAACACCCAGCGACCTAAAAGCCGCAATGCCAAACGTTCATCATTTCACCACAAGCCATCACCACCACCTCAACAAACAGATCCGCAGCGGCTGAGGAGGGAGGGGGCTCTTAACGCCAACTGTGTCCCCTCGCAGGGGGCAACGCGCCTTCCCCCGCCGCGGTGGGCACGGGGGATGCGGGACCGGCTGCCCCGGGCGCAGCAACAGGCTCGGGCCGGACCCGCCGAGGATTCCCGGGGCTCCAGGCCGGGTCCCCGGGAATGTGGGCACCGCAGCAGCCGCGGGCCGGGATCCGCCGCCGCCCCACGCGGCCGCCGGGGCCGGGCGGACACGCGGCGCGGGGCCCGCGGGCGGTGCCGGGGCTCTGAGGGCTCTGAGGGGACGCGGCCCCCGCGGCGCGGCCTCACCTCCTCGGTGACCCGCGGCTGCAGCTTCCCCCGCAGCTGCGCCCAGGGCAGGCGGTGCAGGTTGTGCAGCTGCCCCAGCACGAGCAGCGGGCGGCTCTGCGGGTCCGCCTCGCCCGCGCTGGCCTGGAACTGCAGCTGCACGTTCGCCATCTTCCTGCCCGGCCCGGCCGCTCCGCCCCGCCCGGGCCCGGCTCCGCGGGGCGGGGACGCGCCGGGTCACGGGAGCGCCGGGACACGGCCCCGGGACAGCGGGCACGGCAGCGGGCATGGACCGTGCCTTTGAGTCAACTGAAATGGTTGGGTTTAAACGTACTACGGGTTTTATTCTATTATTTTTTTTAATATATTTGCCAAGCGCCTCCTGTTAATGTTTGGTCAGTAGGCAATTATCCTGGGAGACCCATCGGGTTCATCCCGTCCAGCTGCTGGCCCTGCACAGACACCCCAGCAATCCCACCCTGTGCCTGAGAGCGTTGTCCAAGCGCTCCCTGAACTTCGGTGCTGTGGCCACTTCCCTGGGGAACCTGATACTCGCTGATCTGCATCCAGGAAAGCCGGGAAGGTCCGAGTAACAGAAAGGGAGGAAAAGTGAAACCTGATGCATGTAATAGAAATACATCTAAAAAGAGGGGAAAAAAACCCAACAAAACAGAAAACAAAACCCAACAAAACCCGGGCTGAATTCCAGGAAAAAAAACTTCCATACAGTAATGTCTTACTCGGTCTCTGAAGTGACATTATGGAAACTTTATTGCCTGATGCATTTAAAATTGCCCCGAATAAAAGTTGTAGGAACATCTGTTGCAGAGGTCGATCGTGCATCCTCACAGACGGGAAGGTAACTCAATAAACAAGCTCCAACTTTAACCGAGCCACAGAACACGCACTGTTCAGGGGTTCACTGTTATCCCAATACATTTGGATAGTGTGGGAGATAGGAATGACAGTACACACAGCAATTCAGGATTGAGGCATTCCAAGGATTCTGCCAGGCAGTAAAAAGTCATTGAGTGTTCCTGCTACTGTCAGAGTACAAATACAGCACATTCCCTGAATCCAGTGTCTGAAAGGCAAGCAAAATAGTAGGAAACACGCACCTAGCCCAGAATCCTTCTTTTGTCAGTTAAGGACAGCAGAGGAGTGTCCTCGTGAAGGGAACAGACTGAGGAAATCAATCCTACCTACAGAAATTCCCTGTGAATGTCCCACCAGCAGCAGCTGCAAACATTTCTATTTGTACGGGCCACGGCAGAAGCTGCAGCCAGGACCTGTCTCCAATTATTGATCCTCTACAAGTACTTGTGGAATCAACCCACTAAAACATCATCTTACATAATCCATCATAATTAATATGCAAAATTATAATGAATTCCCTGTTTTAATGGCTTTTATTCAAGAAGGCTGTTGGGTTTGGGGTTTATTTTATTTTATATTTTTTTTCCCAACAAAATTGGTTTCACTGCCACCTATCCACAAACTCACATTTTGCAATGCTGTATCAAAAGCAAACTTTCCAAAGATTTAAGCAAAGGAGTTAAGACTTTTAAGTGGTTCATAAAAGCAAACCTTAAATCAATGCAATCCAGGCAATCTTAGTAAACACCTCACCAATTACAGTTATTCAAATTTTTAGCACATTCCAAAAATCACCAAGCAAAAAACCAATTCTTCCGTTTCACTTTCCAGTTTCTAGAGAAAACTTGCAGTAGAAATAAATTTGCTATTACAGTGCTTTTAATGCTGTCCTTCCCGCATATGACTCCAATTGATTTCTGTTAACAAGTGGCAGCTCATTTTTTGCACGCTTACATGCATTTTAATGGAGAAATTCTGTACAAGCCCACGGCTTTATAGGCCATTCCCTCAGGTGAGGAGCCACAGATTCTCGGGAGATGCTCCAGCACTGCTGTTCTGTTCCTTTGTGTAAGGAATCAGAGCTTCCATACAGGCTGAGAAGAATTCAACAACCCCGAGGAGGCCACAACCTGCAGGAGAGAGGGCACCAGCTTTGTCTGCAGCAGCACAGAGGACTGGACACACACAGGGCTGGACAGAAGCACAGTCAGGAGGTTCAGGCAGCTCCTGCTCTTGGAACACCTGAGTAGGCAGTAACTGCTGTGGATTTTTGGGCTCTCACTGCCCAAAGGCACACACACCACCCCTTCTTTAGGAGGCCACATGGAGAGAGTCCCACAAAGCACAGCATCAGGGTCTGATTTAGCTGCTGATGGTTATTGAGGCTGACTCAGAATAAGTTACACACCTGCAATGATTTAGAAGCCTGATGTGGGTTTTCTTCCTCTATATAATCAGCTTCAATAAATTCCAGCTTGAGTTACGCAGGACAATTGACATCTGAGTTTAACCTCTTGTTTGATACATATTAAAAATGCATTTCCTTGTACAGAATTTGGATAGAATATAGGTAGCCAGTTACTTCAGTGGAGCTAGGATATCATGGCCATAACTCACGGGAAATAACTCTTGACAATGCAAGTTTACATTGTGCTACAAAAGTTATTTTTTTTTTAGATATTTCATGTCACTGCCACTTTCATTTAATTATGAAGAACAGAAATGCATTAACATCACGAAAGTATGTTTCAGTTTATATTTTTTTAAAAAATGAATAATTGCCCACTTGGGTTGGAAGTGTTTTATTACTCCTTCAGATTCATTTGCCATGATAAAATGTCAAAAGCACCGGTCAAGACAGAAATAAATAACACGATCTCATGTTAGAGAAAAAGTTGCAAATACAGTATATTAAATTATAGCAAGATGCTGCTTCACACCAGCTGATGCAGACAGCACGAGGGAGACAGTAGTTTTACTCACGATCATTGAAAAGATCTATCACCAGAACAGGGGAGCTGCACACCCAACCACAAGCCTCAGTCCTCCTTTTACCAATTTACTTTGTGAATTTAATGAAGAGTTTGAACTGGCAGTTTTGGTAGTCCAACATCCCCTTTCTCTAGCGGTAACAGGAGTGGTACAAAGCTTTTCGTAAGCCCCACAAAAAGCCAAGGCTTTCACGTCTTTGCAGTCTTTGATTTCAGGTCCATTCCTGAAAATGGTCAGTTTAAAGCCACGTCTCAAGTCCTCCTTTAGTACATAGTAAAGAAACTCCAGGCAGGCAACACATGCAACTTCAATAGTGTTACGAAACTGCATTCAGGGGTTGGAGCAGAGCATCTCTGCAACTGTACGGGGAGCACTTTTATCTGTCAGAAAATGAAGGAAGTTACAGTCCCTCTGGGAAAAAAAATAAAAAATATAAAAAAGCCATATTAAAAATATTAAGGCAAGGCCACTACAATTGCACACCACTTCAGGCCTGAATTAAATCAGGAGTATTCTATTACTTACATGTTGCCCTAATTCCTGTTGTATGGCCCGCAGCAAAGTTTTCCACTGAAAAAAATAGTGAAAAGAACCCCCAAATTCTCCACTGAAGGCCTTGGAACATGTCACTTGCATAACACCTCCCATGGTCAGTTAGAGACCATAAACACGTCCTCTTCCAGGCAGACATTTGAAAGAGAATCTTCTGCCAGGGAAAATGATGTAATATCTACTGTAGTGAAGTCACTTCCTGCACAAAAAACATAACCCATATGGGCAAAATGCACTGTAAAATAAAGAGCTTATACACCAACTAAAGTTTGAGACATCTGAGACCCACTACAGCAGGCCAGAGAGAGATTCTCTTTTTGGGTTTCTACTCCATTTTTTTCAGTTTAACTTTGCCACTGCTTTCATGTAATGCCTGTACTTTAAACTAAAAAAAATGATGCATGAAAAGATATATGATCATTCTGGTGAGGAAAATCATTCCCATGATTACTCAAGCTCAGAAAATTTTTTAATTAACTAAACATGTTAAATTATGCCAGTGATTACATCTTGTTATTTACAAGATCAAGTACCACTGATTCTTAGTAATGGGGCAGTATCTAAATTAAGATCACAGGGGTTGGATTACGTTCTGGTTGCTAAAAGCTTTCTGTTTTAGCTGTCTATCCAGTTCTTTGGAATTTTGAGTCTGGAAGAAAGGGGATCACATCAAACAATTTTGCGCCTCGACATATTTTACACCTGGATCAATTTTTGATATCTAATCCCATCGACTCAGTAACATGGTTTAAATTTGAAACCTGTCACAATTATGACATAAGAATATAGAAGACAACACATTTTTGTTCACAGTAACACACTAATTATTGTACTCACTGGTAAACTTCAATTTTTAATAATTTTTAAATACTGTGTTTTCCAAATACCTCAGCATAGAATGCCAATTTTTTTGTGGGGGAGCATCAGATTTCCTGAATTTTTCCACATAATCCTTACAAACACCTCACAGATCACCAAACTTGGAAGAATTCTACAGAAACATTGCACAGACGTTGCACCACAAGGGCTCGTACATTCAAAGGCAGCTTTCTGGAGTGCAGGTCCATCCATTCACATTGGGAAAAAAGTTCACAGAAACTCCAAAAATGAGAAAATGAAGCGAAACCTAGTGTGACTTTACACCAATAAGAACAACAATGAGGACAATTACTATAACAAACAAAATTAAAATAACGAGCATCTTCCGGTTCTTCTTTTGATATTGCTCTGCCTGTAAAACAGAAAAGGAGGAGTTAATATTTAGATTTCTGCAGAGCTGAGGTACAGACTCTTACTTGGTATAAGTGAAATACATGTGCTTCAGATGGTTCTTCGGTTACCTGACATTCCATACAATGTATATTGCAAGCAATTCCCACAAAATAACTCTGATCTGCACCACAGACTCCAGTGAATTAAGTCTGCACTGAAGTCTCATTTACCTGTGTTAAAGAGCAGACTCACTTTGATTCCTGTTTTATATTTGAAGGTCATTAAAATTCACAACAAAACTTCATTTTTTTAATAGGCATTTTTGTTGGACCTTACCCAGCTGTGCATTTTCATTTAATTTCAATTAGCACTGAAAGCTTTCTTTCTGATTTGGTTCTCAGTTTTCTGCTTCTTTCCTTCTTTCTTCTAACCATATTTTCTCATCCCTTGCCTCTTTTTCCCAAGGGAATCAAAAGGGCACAATGTGGAGAAAACTCTCCAAAAGCCAAATGAAAGTCTGCTAATAGAAGCTAAATGGAACAAAGCTTGCATTTAATTTTATTTAATTAATAAACCTTCAAAATTTAAAGGGAAAACTATATTAATTCTTCTCCTTTATAGTCCCTGGAAAGTAATTAATTACCAGATCTGCTAAAGAGGAATTTTTGACCTGAAACTATGTAACATGCAACCACTGTGACTACTGACTTCATTAGTAACCGATTCCAATTTTCATGTGAAGCAGGAATTGGTAACTAGGGATTCATATCACCAGACTTTTGCAGTGAATTAGTGCAATTCTTGTTGTCTTGGTAGTTTATAAAAATTATGCCAATTAAAACAGAAAAAAAAATTGACATTATAGATATTAAATCAGAATAAAGCTACCACTAGTATTGAAAACACCAGGGTATCTCTGATATTCCTACTCAGACCTGTCTGTATGTCTTCCATGACAGGTGAAAAAATTCTTATGCTGTATTGAAAGCAGGTATATATTGGATCAAAAATCCATACTCCAGCCAGCAATCCAACCAGGGGCTTGCTGAGAATTCATTACCCACCACTAGACCAGAAATAACATTGATTCCAACTAATTAATTTATTTCCAGTTCAATCTGTACAAATGGCTTCCAATTACTTTAGGCTTTGCTCATCCACAGTCAACACCTTGTTTCAGTGATGTCCAATTTACTTTTGTGTATAACAAGAATAATCCTATAACCAATTTATTTTGCTTTTCCTCAAATGGCACATTTTTTGCTGTCCATATATTACAAGTCTACCACCATAGGAAGTTGAGTGTGTAGAAATCAGATGTCCAGGTTTCCAAAACAGAATGTTTTACTTAAGAGGCTTTTGCATAAATCTCTATTGGACTTTATTTCCAGCAATGGAAGGACTGAACTGAGCTGACAAGTCAGAACTTACCATAGACTCAAAACAGAACAAAAAAGCCAACAAAACAAAATAACCACAAAACTCTGCTCTGCTGCCAACTAAAACTTTTCAGGTGTTCATTCTAAAAACTGTTTAAAGTGTCAGATGGTGAGAGAAAACATTAATAATTATTCTTGCTGATTAGGTAATGTTTTCAAACTGAAATCTGTAGTGAGGTACCCAATAACCAGTCCTGTTTCCCAAGTGCCTGGCTCTCCAAACAGACAGGGAATTGCACATAGGTTCCAGCAGGTCTGCAGTATAAATATCAAAGCACATTGCTTGGATGCCCAGAAAGTCATTTAAGAAATTAACACTGGGCATCAAGTGTGACATTAAAAGAAGTTATATGGAAAGCTCCTACTGCAGTACAGTTGGACATTTTATACTGTACACCAATCATTTCTAAAAGGGACTATGTCCAATTGAAAATTGACTGAATAACTTAACAGCTATCAAATTATAAAATATTATTAGATATGCAAAACAGCTTAATTATTCCATCAGCTTACCTTATGTAGTTGTTTTAGACCCTCTTCAGTTTTCATACACGACTGTTCAATATTATAGTCAATTCTATCTAGAACTGTTCCCTAAATAAAAAGGAAAAAACAAGCAGCAAATTGAAGCAAAATGAACTTCATAAAGCAATTATTATTATAAACAGCAGAGTAATTAACAACACTCACAGTAAACAGCTCATGCATTATGTAAACAATGAACTTTTACAGAAGAACTTCTTGGGACTTCACGAAACAACTTCCTTGCTCAATGCCCAATGGCAGCTCTCTCCACATCTCACATCACATCCCTAATTATCACCTTACTTCCAGACCAGGTGCTTTTGGCTGACACACTGAACATGAACTGAATCTCTGGGAGAAATAACCATCAGAACTTCGGCTTTCTATGGCCTTTTTATTTTTTATTATTTTTTTCAGTCTAACACACATAACCACTTGAATTCTTATTTATTTATTTCCACTAATTCAACTTCTGGAAGGTTTCAACCTTGAAGATAAGGATTATCTTATCCTGAAGATAAGAGGTAAGTTAGGAAAAGTGAGCAGCACATGAAAACAGGAAGAGTCTGGAAGCCTCAACACGACACGGAATCTCCTCTTTCTTACTAACACTGTGATGTCCATGTACCTGTTCTACTATCATTGCTCCCAGGTCCCTAAATATTTCATTGAGATCAGAGATGGACTGTACAATCTGACGGATTTCTCGTTCCCGCTCCTCCACCATTAGTGTGTTTTGCTCCACCAACGCCAGCTGGTCATCTGTAAAACCCTGTGGAAATAAAAGATTTAGGTGTTGAATTAGCATTAACAGCATGAAAACACTAGAAATAATTATATGGATTACAAGGTCTTATAACACAACAATCCTTTTGGAATTTCCTTAGTAGACAAGAATCGAAGAAAAAAATGCATTTTAAAAAGATTTTCAGGGTCTCTAAAATAACTTGGATAGCTATTTATAGCTGGAGGAGAGAAAATGCACATCTTGTATCCTGCCCAAATACATAAACAACTGATTTTAAAATAAGAGCTGTCCTAATCCAATGTTTTTGTTGGTGTACAAAATCAATACACGCAAGTGTTCAGCAGTTACAGAATATCTATTGACTGATCAGCATGACAGAAACTCCCATAATGCCAATGTGTACAGACAGCAGCAATTCTGCTATTTTTATTAACCATAGAGACCTTCCTGTTTTTGTCTCCCAAGGCCAATCACAACTGAACATTGTCCTTTCCCCATCACTCTTCCTTGAGATAAGTGAAAAACCTCTTGTACACAGGATTAGCTGAAAAGGTGCCTTGACTTTTTCAGTAAGTTTTCAGCTGAATGTTAACTGAATGTTAACAGCTAAGAATATTCTGTGGCACTATTAGTGAGGACACAACAGAACAACTCCCACTCTGATTAGAAATGCAGTATCCCCAAACTCCACAAAGTAAAACAAAGTCTGATAGAGCTCTACAACATTATTTGTGCAGAAACAAATCACTGCACCATTTTTTCAGCACTCTGTCATATTCAAAGTCTTCAATTACTCTTTAAAGTTCACTTTAAAGAGTGCCACCTTCCATCCAAACTCAGAATCACAGTTTTCTACAATTGCTCTTGCATGTGGCCAGAAAGGTGCTGTGACAAGGGACTTACTCTGTCATAAAGTGTATCATCCTCCCCATCATCCATCAGTGGGACTGAGGTGTCGAAGAAGTGTTTGGATCTTTCTTCTCTATTCTTCATGCCTGTAAAAGACAAGCCATGTTTGAGCACAATATTTAAGCACACTAAGATCAGAGTAAGAGTAAAGTCTGAAGTACCAGATAGAAAAGCACAAAAAAGAAATTTTGGCTAATAAATGACATAAATAATAGTACGTAAATTTTAATTGTCACACAGGCTTCCTATTTAACAAAGCACAACAAATTCAACCAGACTTGCAAGATTAATTAAATCAGTGATTTTGAAGTCATTCTGTCCTACGTAGTTAAAAAAATTAGGTAAGTTAAGAGCCTTAAAGCGTGATCACTTTAGGCTATTTTATAACAAATTCTCTTAGGACCATCCCTTGTCTGAACTGTGATCTTCAGTTCCACCTGTGCCATTTATACCATGGGAGGAAGAAATATCAATGTTAAATTTGAAGATCAAGTTTTTGTGGGTTTCTTCCAAGATTAAAATAATCTTACTTAGCCAAAAGTAGAATTGCACACAATTTTAGAGTTTTAAACAGAAGCTATTCCACTTCCAATCTGTTTATGGATGCAGAATTTTAATTTATCATAGACAACCTCTTGAAGTTTTGTCTATCACAGCCTGCCATCTACAGCAGGTATCATGGCTGAAGAGCAATGGCTGCTTCATCAGTGTCACAGAAGCAGCTTTTCAGACCACAATTAGAGAAGCAAAGATGCATTAAAAATGTGGATGGGTGAAATACACTGATTTGGTTGATATGCTTAACCATGACATTTCTCCTTCAGCAATATGAAAGAGAAGTAGAATAAAGCAGTTTGTACATGGGTGAACCAGAAACCCTCAAATTCTACCCTCTAGCTAGTCCTGTGGGCATCATTTAACCCTTCCACGCTTGAACTTTCCCAACCAAGAAAAGAAGCACACCTCCACCAGTGGTTTCCATAGGAGGTGCCCCTGTATTACTGTATCTCTTATGCTTACGTTTGAGATAGTCAGACTGTGCATGCCTAAAGTTGGTGGACAGGTCCTGAAGGGACTGTGCTAAGGAAGACACTACATTCCTGAGAACACGTGCTTCTTGTTCTGTACAACTACGGGACCTGCTCTGCAAGACCTGGACTGCTCTCTGACATCTGTGGAATAACTGAGAAAACAAGTCCATTAGTAAAAACACAGACAGCAGCTCACACTTCAAATGTCACATTGCAAAAGTGCCAAATTGAACACTAATATTTTGATTTCTAGATTTTTATAATTAATTTTTATTGCCTCGTGCAGTGTTTAAAAAGATACAGAAACAGAACAAACAAAGTTAACAAGGTAGCTGAGTAACACAACTAATTCTGACCAAAGGCATTTGCTTCATTATAATTGCTTGGCCTTGGAATTGATATCTGTATTTCTCTGAGACATCTGTAAACTTGATCTGATTAATCCTATTCCAAGTAGAAAAACCAACAAGTAAGTAACTGAACAGGGAGGTTAATGACTCGTTGGGAAGTTCACCGAGACGGTGAGTGCAGTTCTGAGCACAGAGCCCAGGACTTCTCACTCTAACACTGATAACAAATGAAATGCTTTCCTCAAAGCAAACCATCCCTTGTCCTAATGCTTAAAGATATTTCAAATGGGAGAGTTAGAGCTGAAATGAGCCTGTACCTGTGTGATCTCCTGGGTTGTTATTTCTATTGCCCGTTCCTCTTCACTGCTGTCATCCAGTGTGGGCCTGTTTAGATGTTTATCGTGAAGACTGGCTAATTCTTTCATCTTCTGTTTAACCCTGGCAATATCGTACTGAATCTAAAACAGAAAGCCCAACAGGAACAAAGGGAAGTAACTCGTGTTTCAGAGGAAAGGGTTCTGACAAATGTTAGACAAAAATCATTGACAGAAATCTGTAACGTCAAAAGCAGACCAAAGATCATTATAAACCAGATAAAAAGCTGACTAAGAAGCAACTGAATACTCTTATAGACTTTGAGTTTGGAACCTTTTTAAACCTACTCTTGTTAATCTTAGGCAAGACTGCTGTTTTTAAATGTGCTTCATTAAGTTAGAATAATATTTTTATCATTATATAGTATCATAGCAAGAAGATTTAGCCAACTCCCAAAAATATTAATGAAAATTCAGGCCACAGCTTCAACTGTCACACATTGAATAGCCTGAACTTAACAGGAGAAGTTAAATGACACGCTTGCAAACATGTAATTAAAAATAAATATGTAAGAGTGATTATTATAGTAGTAAAAAGGAGACTGAGCACCTTTCTGCAAAATGGGTTGTGTACAAACTGATGAGGCAACATGTGTTCTGAGAGTACATTTAAAAAGAGATTTTCTGAAAGTCAAGAATAGCTTCACATTCCAAATACAGAGAAAGGTTTTTAACTGGATGCCTCCAGAATCATTCCCTCGCGTATGTCCAAATATTTCCGTAACTTGCAAGGCATCCATAGTGCACAGGCAGGAAAATTCTCCTGCTAGAAGACACTACCATTTCCTGTTTTCAAACAGTAAACTGCTCATCTCCACCATTTTAGGGTCTACTCAACTGGATTCAACAGGTTCAAACAAAAATTCCACTGCAAGTACTAATTTTTTGGTACCTTCCCTTCCAAGTTTTAAATGAGAAGAACTTTGCTTTGCTAAGAGCTTTAGGACCTTCCCGTGTCTCAAGTCTAAAAGCTCAGCTATAGCACATTTACCCTAATAGTCTCAGTGTACTTTTAATACTGGGCTCCCATTAATGATACATAGTGTTCCAGAACTCCTGGCCCTGGATAATCTCCATTTATTTCACTTGCAATATACCCTTCAAGATAATAAGTCACAGCTTGCCTCATATTTTCCTCTAAACAACCTGGGCAACTTAGAAAACACTAATTTTAATCTTTCTTCTAATACTACTTTGGTCATAAAACTGACAGCATTGAGAAAGTAACTGACAACACCAATAAATCCCTACATGAGAAGCCAAACTGTTGGATTTGCCACAGAACTTACCTCATCTGCCCCATCGACCCATTTGGGAGGTAAACGTTTCGTGACTCCAATTGCTGCTTCGGGATCTAAACTGATTCCCGACACCAGTGCCATGCGATCATCAGCCAGCTGCAGGGGAGAGAAAACCACAGCAAATTAATTCAATTCGAGTCAGATCCAAATCCTTGAACATCAGGAAAAGTGCATGTGTGCCTTCTCATAAAAAGTAACCTCGAAGATGTGTTCACACATGACGCAGCTACGATCACACACCACATCTCCTGGTTTGTCCCTATGTGCCAGTGACCTAAGTCCTCCCACTTCCCACAGGATCTGAGAGATGAGAGTCAGTCTTAAAATAAATTCTCAGGAGATTTTCAAGGAGAAAATATGGTATTGCAGTGAGAATTCAAGTAGCTCTCATGTTGGTACTTTTTTCCAGCACAGTTTATATCAGGCCGGGCAAGTTTGAAAACTGCATTTGGGAGAATCTCAAAAAAAATGTTTATTGTAACTGCAAGAAATAAAATAGTACCCCATGCTTGTTCTCAAAACGATGTTATTTAGACAGACATTCAGCTAAGAGGCAGCTGAAGGACAAACACTCTTGCAAACTGACATGAAGCTAAAATGGTTAAATTACTTGTTTAGTGGACATGAAAATGTGCTAAACACAAATAGCCAAGGCAGTTCTAGAGATGATCATCAGTGATACCACTTGAAACATAACTAATCACTGCTTGTTCTCAGGGAAAGATTTAATACAAACACCTCCCTTCCTAGTTTCTCTCAAATTTCTAATTTTCCTTTATCAGGCCTGTAAAGCTTCACGGTTCTCTACTCCATCCCTCTTCCTTCCTGGGTAATGCTTTCTTGAAAGCCCTTTTTATCCCTGACCTTATTCCTGATCAATAAAGTTTGTATAATTCATGCATAGCATGAACAATAGTTACTGGCTTCATTGTGCAAAGTCATTCTATCCCACACATGTACAGTTAGTCAGACTAGTTTATACATTTATCTATTCACAGTGTAATATTGCATCACTAAATGCTTGACTTTATGCAGCCTCGTCCTTCTACTGTGCATGGAGACACTTCATCCTATATAAAGAAATTCAGTAAACCAGCAGAATAAGGAAAGGAACATTTTAGGTCAATGATGTAGACTTGATGTACCATGGCAGAATAAAATGTGAAAAACAATACCTCATCCAGCTCCTGAAGTGATTTGTGGATCCCATCAGCCCCATCCAGTTAGAGACAGCAAAAGATAAAAGGGAAAAAAGAGACATAGGACAGATATAGGGCATGGTCAGTTGAGAAAATACTGATTGATGTTTAAAGCATGATGGTTTACCAAGAACAAACAAACAGCCCTTTAAAGACATGACTAATCAATAAATATATCATGATACTGTATTTTAAGTCAGCATTTTGCTTGATGCACCAACTTTTTAAAGAAATATTTCAGTTCCTTGGTAAACTGCAAGAACATAAGAGATCAAGTCCAGAGCTTGGTTTGTTTTCCAAAGTAACTGCACAGTCAATATCTAAACTGTCAGGCAGAGACACTGCAATAGAACACACTGAAGTAGGACAGCAAAGGCCACTGACTGCAGCATTCAGCATCCACAGGGGAGTTGGAGGGTTTGACTATGATTGGAGGAGGCACAGACAAGCTTTTGAAAGATATTTATCAACAAGCACTCCAGTTACCACAGGATAACACAGACAGCAAAAGACAAAAAGCAAAAGCAAATGCAGCATATGCTCACTTCTGTACACACTGGAGTTGTGCTCTGCTTTCAGGGCACATTAACCCTGCAAGGATCTGAAAAAATATAAAAAGCAACCAATCTGCAGCTTCTCTGTTCATCAGTGTTTGCACTGTGTGTGTGAGCAAAAGGGTATTTCACTTACAGATGAACAAAGCAGATCTAAAATGAGGACAAACACTTGTGGTTTAACAAAGCAGCATCAACTGATGGCCCTTATCCCAGCCCAAGCTCTTGAAACAGGACTATACTGTTAAAATGCTGCTGTGATTATCTGAGTTTTAAGAGTGGCTGAGTGTCCTCATGAGGGTGCATCTGCCAGGGCAGAAGGTGATTTTGGACATAGAGTTCTCATAGCAAAGGATGTCTTGAGGAGAAGCCTGGGGAGTGAACTCAGGTGAGCTGAAGTACTGTGAGAGAGAACTTGCAGCCCTGCCCTGCTGGCACAGGCAGCTCTGCTCTGGGGGCATCACCCAAAGGAAAACCTGCAGCTGACAGGGACAGGCACCTGAAAACCTGACAGACAAATAACTCATACTAACAGTGTTACACTTCTTGCTAAAACAGTTCACTCCTGATAACTACAGAACTCTGAATGTCCACCAGGATCCAGACTGAGCCATTGACTCACTTCACCCACTGCACAGAGGGAATTTCCAGTCGCTGTTCACCTTTGTGTGAATGAGCAGCCCAGCAAACACCTTCAATTCATGTTGAAAAACACTGTCAATAAACGTTTTATGCATGTTTTAAGTGATACTGCACTCACTGCTGAGCAAAGTGCATTTCACTGCTCAGTTGTCTGTATGGGAGTTTAAACCATCACTGCCTTTTCTGGGTGATATTTTAAAAACCCCCAAGCATCTAAAGAAGTGATATTGATATTGGCAAGGAAACCTTAACAAGGACTAAATGCAGAGCCAAGTTACACTTGTGTAATACAAATTACCATTGACATTTCCTGTTCTACAAAAGCAATTTCATACACAGCTGGTTAGACACAGGTGTAATAAAGTTAACAAGGAACAAATACCATAAACAGCAACATGAAGCACTGCTTTTCCTGACAAAAATGCATTAATATTAAGCAATTTAGAACGATGAGACTGCCAGCAGATAGTTACTGGTGTCTATGACAAATAAATGATAAGCTTAAACAGAAGGTGTGAAAACCTGAGCAGAGCTGAGCTGCCAGGCAGCCTATCATGGTTCAAAACTTAGAAAAAGCTGCAGAAACTGCCTCTGAATGCATAACTTTTATGAGGGAAATCTACTGACTTCCTCTCTCAAAGATGTCTGAGTACTATTTGTATTTACAGAAAATTAAAATAAAAAGGGCAGTGAACACCAGAGCAAGTTATGGAGAAATTTAAGCAATGGGAATAAACTATACCAAGTGTATTTAACAGTGCCCACACTGAGGTGAATAGAAGAGTTCTGCTCTATGCAATGATTTTGGGTTTTCTTTGAGGTAGAGGCATCAAAAACCAAAGAGGACCAAAAACCTCATGTCAACGCTAACACGAAGCTCTTAGAGCAATAATTTATTATTCACGAAGGGACTAGAGATCAGCACACAGAGAGATCTCTTCTATTCGCTTTCCGTGAGGGAGCAAGGAAAGGGATCAACAGGGCGGGGAGGGAGGGAGGCGGGAGGGGGGTTGAGGAGAGGGCTCGGAGGAGGGGAGAGGGTCGGGGCACAGCTCGGCTGCCCGGCGAGGTACAGAAGGATGAAGGGAGGAGACTCACCGCAGCAGCCATGCTACGTGACCCCCGAGGGCTGGAGGAGCCGAAACTACTCACTTGCTCGGCCAGCAGCTGCCGGCTCTGCACCGCGTTGTTCCGCAACAACAAGAACGCGTCCGTGAGACGCCGGGTGGCCATGGCCCCCCTGCCCGCCGGGCCCGCGGCCCGAGCACAGCCCGGCACGCGCGGCGGCCGCCCCTCAGAGGGCCGGGGCGGAGACCCCTAGGAGGGCCGGTAGCGGGAGCCCTCAGCGGGCCGTGCCCGGGCCGGCCCTGGCCCTGCCGGGTCCCGGTTCCCCCCTGTCCCTGTCCCCGTCCCGGCCCCCGCCGGGCGCCGCCATGGCCCCGGCCCGCGCCGACACTTCCGCGTTGTGCAGCGCCCAACGCCTTCCGGCCCGCGCGCCCCGCGCCGCTCCGCCCGCGCCCGCGGCCCCGCCACCAGCGTTCCGGCCCTCATGGGGCCGGGGCACGGACACTCCAGATCCGTTCCGAAATCCAACCCTAAATCCATTCCCGCATCCAGCCCCAAATCCAGCCACACATCTGTCCCAACATCCACCCCTAAGCCCATCCCCACGTCTGTCCCCATCCAGCCAGAAGTCTATGCCCACGTGCAGCCCCACGCCCACCCCACATCCCTCCACACATCCAGGTCCACAGCCCACCCCAGAAGTGGCCCCACCTCCAACCCCACATCCTGCCCAAATCCAGACCCACATGCAGCCCCAAGTGCAGCCCCACATATGGCACCACACCCATTCCTCAATCTGTGCCCACAACCAACCATCCCACATCCATCCCAACTGCCAACCTCACATCCATCTGTCCATCCAACTCCATATCCTCTTCCACATCCAAATCCACATCAGCGCCACCTCATCCATCCACATGTCCATCCCTGTGTCCATCCCTGGCTCCATCCCATGCCCATGTTCCCTGAAAACGGACAAGCTATTTAAAATGACAGTATGGGGTTTGACTTTACAAAAGAGGCTTTTCAATAAGGCGACTGAAATGATTTTCTCCTGCTGCTCTGTCAGGCCGGACGGACTGCTCCCAGTGCGGGGCAAATGTGACTCGAGGTGGTTTTGGGGTCCCTCTGGTGCATCCTATGCCAGGTGCCTGCACTCCAGGGGACATCCAGCATAATCCCCAAGGAAACACCAGCAGCCACTGCCCAGCACAGCCAGGGAAGCTGCTCCCCACAGGTCATCAGGAGATTAAACCCTCAAAAAAACCCCAAACCAACTAGTATTTACACATATGGCAGGAACAGTGACTGTAATCACAACCACATTTGCTGGAAATGTTATCTCGTTTTATCCAACCGCCTGGGCAAACTTGTATGGTGAAAAATAGGAACAAAAAAATATTCCTCTGCTATTATAAGATATTTGGGGGGTTTTCTTGAACAGCCCTTCTGCCTCAGCGGGAGAGACCTGAAACTTGGAATTTAGCAAGGAAATAAGCTCCAGTCATACAAGGCCTAATGCACGCATTTCATTTTTCGTGGTCTGGTGAAATCTGTTTTCATTTTGGCTGCCTGACAAAGGCTTTAAAAATGTATGTATGGGCTTCATTTCTTCATGCTAATTTTTAATCTACTGTAACAATTTTTTATACCATGAGAACAGTTTCAGCTAATGACCTTCCTGCCTCCTCTTGGCACTGCTGCCATGGCTGTAGGTCAAGAGAAATTTCTCCTGCAGTCAACAGTCTTGCCGTGATCTTTTAGATTCGTGTGCATGTGCAGGGAAAACCAGTTGGAATATCCCGCACAGTGGGATGGAGAACCCAACAGGAAGCCTAATGTGCTGGAAATTGGTACACACTAGCAATTAACATTTTGTTTCCCGATTTTTGACAGCTTAAAAAGGTTTGAATGTTGGGCAGGCTTGAAATTTAAGCAGGGGCTATAAAAAGGATTTGGGACTTGTACACCGAGGGATAAAACTCCACAAGGAAGGGGTCCAGACCTAACCCGGTGAAAAAACACTTCAAAGTGGATATTAGAAATAAGCAAAGGGAGTAGAAGGAATGGAAAAAAAGGATTAAGCAAAGAAAACTATGTCTTAGAAGTTAGGAAATGTAGGCATAAAGGGAAATGTGCCAGAAGTGAAGGCGAGGTAGACCTTGCAAAGGAAATTAAAACAAATAGCAAAATGTTTTTCAGGCATTCATACCAGGAGAGGAAGGAGAGAAGAGGTAGAGGTGATGAAAGGGGGAGAGGCAGGACACAAATGAATGCATAATATGTAGTGGAAATGTACACAGAGGAAATGAATGCATGGAGACAGAAATGACCTCATCCAAGTGGAACAAATCATAAAGATCATAACGCGACAATAATTTGGGCTAAATGATCGTTATAGATCCCTTTCAACTGAAATATTCTAATTTCTGACTCAGACATCTAACAGGACTTTGCATCTGGCTGTGTAACAGCATCGCTGCAGGAGCAACGCAACACAAGTTGAGAGCAGGAAAAACTGTTCCAGCTTTTAAAATGAGGAAAAACAATTAAAGTCTGATCCAAATAAAATACGAGACTTTTGGATAAGTTTAGCAGGAAAGAATGATAGCAGACATGATGGCAGATAGAAATGGGCTAACGTACAATACATGCATTTACTGAAGGTGGACAGTGCTTGACTAACCTGAGGACTTTGTAAGATAGTTTTCATAACAGATAAGAGCTAGTAGTTTTATTCTGTCTGGTAATGAATAAATGTAGGCTGGATATTAGAAGAATTTGTGTTACCATCAGAGGAATTAGGTCCTGGTATGTCTTTTCTACACGCATGGCAACCACATTATAAAGTAGCACTTGATCTGTTCATAAAAAAACCCAGATCATATTTTCCATTCCTAAGACAGCACATATCCCTGAACATATCTTTCTAAGCATATACTATTAATATTTAGGGCTGTTGCATGTTGGTGCCTAAGCCCCACTGCCATAGGTTTGGAGCCTGTGTCTTCCTTTTTATCTGCTTTTTAAATGTCTGTTCTTTTCTACTGCTGCTGGTGAGCAATGAGACAGCAATGCTGCCTGCACTGGCACATTCCAGCACCCACCACCTCCCACAAGCAGAGCCTGGTCCAAAATGGTGGGAACTTTCCAGTTACTACTGTGGCATTTGGATCAAGGCTTCTGGTGGAAAAAAATACTCCATATTCAGGAGAACGTTCTATTTTGAGGTGAATAGATAAGCTTTTTTTTTTTTAATGGCGAGATAATCAGAGCCATATTTCAAACTCCAGCTTTTAAACTGTGCTTGCAAACTCCTTCATCGTGGTCCAGTCCCTGTATCACCACTGGTACCCAGGCCAAGTCAAGGGCAAACAGACCTTATGCTTCAGTGATCAGATGAAGGTCAATCCCCACGACATTTTATCTTGTGTAATTGAGTAGATACACGGAGGAGGTGAAATATTGCACTCTTTTGAAGCTTGAACAATCAGCTTGAGCCAAAGGTAGGATTAATGGACCATGAAGTGCATTTTGCCCTGGAAAATCCCACCATCCTTTTGCAGCTGGAACACTTGGCTGCCAGAAAAGTTCTTCTGCAGGAAAGTTTCTAAGGAAAAATAATCAGCAAAGTGGCAGGGTTAGCTCTGTCATTGCAAGAGTTACCTTTTTTTGCATGGGAACTGAGGGGCTTTTGGGAAAATAGACCACGTTCTTGCCTTTATTTTGTTGCAGAAGGATTTCAGGTTTCAGGGCTGTCAAACTCAGTTTCAAGAGTGTGTTAATCACTGAACCGGGGTTTGTTTGGCCGGGGAACTGGAATTTCCCGAGATTTGCAGTGAGTGTGATTCTGACAACGTCTCTGTAGATGGTGCTGCAAGGCAGGGAGATGGGAGCAAACATAGCCTTTTAAAATGCAAATCCTTGGTTTCTTAGCCAGCTCTTGGTATTCCAGCTTCCTTAAAAGAAAATGAGACATAGTTGCCCATAGTGTCTTTATTTTGATGAGCTATAATCCAAATGCACTCTTTGGAAATATAAACAAAGGAGAACTGTTATTTTCTCTGGATTCAAAGAGTTGGCATTCTGTACTCTGCCTGGAAAACTGCTGTTGAACAAACTATCTTTTCATATTGATCTGACTGTACCAGCATTTTAACAGCAGATTGTAGAATCTAGTGATTTCGAGAAAAACATCTGAAAAAGAATATTAATTTGGTCATGTAGAGACACTAAGCAATGGATGTTTAAATTATAAAGAGAAAGAAATTCACATGTCTAAGTGGGCTCTGTCCTCTTTTGCTCAACACTCAAATGTTGCCTTGAGTTCAACTGTTCTTCTGCACATTGAAAAATGGTATAATGGACCCTGCAACTGTGTCTGTAGTCCTCCCCTGCTCTGAAATGCAATCAATCCAGGTGGAATCAAGTCTTACCTCAAGCTGGGTAGGCAGTGAAGACTGATGTGTCTGCTTGGAGGGCTGGGAGGAATTTTTTAATCAAAATTCAGCTGCATGAATTTGGTGTTCCCAGGCAGACATACTTCACATACATAATTAGACAGGCAACCTTGTTCAAAGGCAGATGTGAGAGTCACTGTCTATGAGCTTGTACCCCAGTCTCATGACAGGCTAATAATGCCTGTGGTACTTAAACAATGGAACAACTTTGTCATCTAATATTGTGCAAAATTCCTTTCCTCAGCTGGGCACTATATTAAATCTTCTGTGTCACCATGGTTCTAGGTCACCTCTACAACAAAGATAAAAGATTGCTCATTGTAGACATTTATGTCTCTGCTTATCCTAATTCTCTCTCCAGTAGTCACGTGGGGATATTCTGATTTTAGATTGAGCTATCAAATAGAAAAATTTATTAGTGCTCTCTTTCTTCTAAGGTAGTTATATATGTATATACAAAGATTTTAGATCCAGGTGGGATACCCAGCTGTCATGGATGTGTGTTTTAGCTGAGCAAAAATTGTGGGGCTGGATGTACGGCAGTAATTAGGTGGTCATGCACAGAGAGAGCAGTATGAATTCAAGATGTTTCTGTCCCCTGGCTGCTTGCTATTGACAGAGTGATGATTTATCTAGCACAGGACACTCTGTGAGTGCTTCTCGTGTGCTTTAGTGCAAGTTGATCAGTTTAGTTACTAACAGAGCAGCTTTCTTGGAGAGGTCAAACCACCAGCTCAAACCCACATTCAAGGGTCCAACAGCACCATCTCTAGAGTAAGAGAGGAGAGAAATGTGTTGTTTGCATATTGTGGCAGAGTCCCACAGTACTTCAGGTACACCCAAACATCAAAAAAAAGTAATCAAAATAAGTAGACAAGGGAAGTATTGCTATTGCTCTTTTAGAGACGAGGAACCAAGCCACAAAGAGATTGAATGAGCAGTTCCCCCACAGAAACACGTAATGTA